TCTCAAGTGACACTTCAGTCCTCTGATCCTTTTAATCAGATTCCTTAATGCTATAAGCCAGAAAATATTTATGCCAGCAACCAGCATAACATATGGTATAAATGGCATAGATCTATAAACCTTTCATGTTTTAAAGTGTGAGAGTTGATGGAATTTCTCTTTATGATTTGGACATAGTTTGATCACTTTTAGAGGCACAGAGGTCCCAGAACAGATAGTAGATTGAAGACTGACGTCAAATTAACATCACAGGGGCCTGAAGCTAAAGAGGCCTGTTAGTCACATGGAGGCCACATAGTCGGAGATTAGATTAAGTAAAGATGCCCCAAATCATTTCACCCTATCTCCTACTCCCTTCTCCTTCAGGCAGCTGACACTGGCTGCAGGGGAGACACTGCTCTCTCTGCTCCTTTGGATTACCTTAACTAATCTGCTTTTCCACTTTCCCCATTAGAAGTCCCTCTTAGCAAAATTAGGTAATTTGGGATCCTGAAAGACTCAGTGGTAATCCCAGTAGAGACAATCAGAGATGACAACATATCAGTCAGCAGACCTGGGTTCCTCGGGGACACCCGAACCTCGCTGCCTGCCTTGACTGCAGGTGCCTTGGTGCTCCACTATGAACTGTGGGGTCACATGATAAGGAGACTGGAGAAGAGATTGTGGATTTTAAGCAACCTTTATGACACTGTCTGCACCAGACCTGGAACCGTAATAACCTGCAGCAGAGCAGATGCCAGGAGCTAGCCGAAGGTCCTGCATCTCTGATGCTCACTTGCTCTCCTCCAGCAAACAGACTGTGGACTCCCACTCCTTGACCTGAGGGCACAGAGCTGAAGGGAAGTACAGCTCCCACAGCTGGAGACTGTCTGGCAGCAGGACAAGAGCCCAGGAGTCAACAATATCAAGGAGCTTTGATCAGCAAAACATCAGTCAGCCTCTGAGCCAGGCATGCTGACTCTCAATCGTGCAAAGTCTGTTTTGTGTGTGTACACAGAAATGTGAACTCTCTCAGTAGATAAGAGCTCTCTGCCTGGGTTTCGCAGGGAAGACGTGCTCAGAAAAATCCTTGTGAGCAATAAACAAGGATTACATATTCTAATCTGAGCTGCTTAAGGCCATTTCAGCTTCTCTGAAAGAGTCATTCCTTTAAGGAGCATGAAATAAAAAGACAAAGTTTATCCCCATATACTTCATGAATGCCAGTTACCAAAACTAAAGAAGATAAATTTTCAAAATAAAATGGAGACATTTTAGATGATCATTTCCATTAAAAATATATTAGTAATTAAACTTTAAAACATTTTTAATTAAATAGAACCACTCCCTCATTTTAAGTTGACTTGGTTCACAAAGAGAACAAAAGAAATTTTGATACTGTATTTTGTACAAAAAATAACTTTTACAGGAAGCATCAATTATGATTGTATCCGCTTCTTACTGAGGGCGATATTAGTGCCTCCAAGTAAAAACAAAGAGTAAATCAGATATTAAAGACATTTGTTTTAATGAATCCTCAAAATATTCATATATTTAAAGTAAAAAGGTCATGAAAATGCTAAAAATAATTTAAAATATCACACTTCACAAACATCAGAATACAAGGGCACTTTAAAAGTTGGTTCTACTTTAATTTAAAACTGATAAAGACACAAAACCTATTTCTGCCAAGCATTATCAAATCTGCCCAGACACTGTATGACTACATCATTAAAACTTACGACTAGTTCAAAAAAGCATGTGTGCTTTGCTAAAAAGGGACTCCTAAATTCCATTTAGGATTCCCCTAAATGGAATCTCCAGGAAAGTTTTCAGGAAACAGTTACTGTATCTACATACAAATATAAAATGTTGGAGTTAGTATTTCAAATAGTTAAGACTTAAGAGAATTACAGTAGCCAAATTTCGATAACTCAGATATCGTTCGATATCTTTAACTCAGTTAAAGATAACTCAGGTGATATAGTTTAACACCAGCATTATCGGAAGAAGTTCTTGCGCCCTTCACCTGCCTTTTCTCAGCCTTTCTGCACTTCTGATCTGTGAAACTGCAAAATCCTTTGAGGAAATCAGGCGGTTATTGTGATTCCTGAACTTAAGTCCTGCTCTCCTTTTGCTGCAGGGCAATGATCTAAAACAGGTTTTATTTTCATCTTAACCAGCGGAGTACCCTCTCCAGAGTTACCCTGGGGCCGGCATCTAACGTTTAGGTTAGAGGGATGCAATCTAATGTTTTATTGGCACAATGGTGGTGGGTCTTTTTCCCCATCTCTGCCTGCTTATGCCTTTTTGGAACTCTACTTTTTATTTTTTTAAGCCTTTTCTCAGAAGAACACCACTTTCTATTGTTAGCAGCAGTCTGTTTCTTTTTCTTT